CTCCCTCCCTGCCACTCTATTTGAAAATCAATGGAAAGATATCCTCAGGTGAGGATTAAAAATACAAAAAACAAAACAAACAACTTAATTTTACAGTAACTTACTACACTGAAATACTTAAGACCATAGAATACAACTAAAATGAAGCATTGTCATATATAGTAACTAATAGATTTGGATATGATACAGATCAAAACATTCAATCTATTCTTGTCCATATACAATTAACCCTAAAACAGGGGTGGAAAACCTTTTTTTTTTTTTTTTTTGCCAAGGGCCATTTGGATATTTGTAACATCATTCATGGGCCATACAAAATCATCAACTTAAAAATTAGCCTGATATATTTGGTCAGGCTAATTTGGTGAGGCATGTGATGTTTGCTGGAATTGATTTCTCAGGCCTTATTCGGCCTGTGGGCTGGACGTTTCCCCACCCCTGCCCTAAAACAACACAGGTTTGAACTGCGCAAATCCACTTACATGCAGATTTTTTCAATAAACATACAGTTGGCCATATGTATCCTTGGCTTTTGCATCTGAGAATTCAACCAACCTAGATCAAAAACAGTATTTTTGATCCTTGGTTAGAAATCCGCAAATCCAGAGGGCCAACTGTATGCATTGTTCTACACCATTTTATATAAGAGACTTGAGCACATCTGCAGATTTTGGTATCTGTAGGGGGGTAGTGTGGGTCCTGGAACCAATCCCCCATAGATACTGAAAGACAACTGCTATTAAGTTTTGAGGGAATCAAAGGTTATACAGATATTTGACTGTATGGGGGTCAGTACCCTTAAACCCCCACACTGTTCAAGGGTCAACTATATATCAATGTATGCAACCACTACGCAAAGTACACATGGCGTTTGTCTCTTAACATTATATTCAGATGCTAGTTTTTATACAATATTAAAGTGATGAGTGATGATTTGACACCTTAAAACCAGGCAGAGGACTCAAACATTATCCAAACTGAACTAGCTAGGCTAGGACATGACCAAATTCCTGGGACACCCTTGAAACACCCCCACTAAAACACAGATGGCCACAGCTGTGGACTGGAGCTGTGTAGGTGGTAACCCTAGATCAAGAAAGGAGAAAGAGTAAAGGCATAAATCACAGTTCCAAAACCACAACACCCAGGAGATTCTGTGGAGTCGAGCCTTTACTGCCTGTCAGATTTTCAGGGGCTCCTAATTTCTGAAGGCAGGATGAAGATGGGGGATTTGAAATAGTATGCTTAGCAGTAGAATCACTCAGGCTTCCTCCAGTACTGCAGTTTAACCCTTGCCCTCCAACTTCAGGCATGTGGGCAGCTGCTGGGATTTCTCCCAATAGAATTCCTCCTCCCAAACAGAGGAAGCTCCCCCAGAGCGCTGCTATGATGCTACAATTATCCAAACTCTAGTAAATGATCTTTAAATCTAGTGCTTTCTTTCCACAAACTTCTCTGAGCCCAGCAAATATGGACAGTGCTGTTATAGCCCTGACTGTTTACCTTTGCTAGAATTTTAGCTCACTTCCTAAAATAATTAGATCACAGATTACAATCCAGTGGTCTATGAGCTGAATCCAGCCCACCCATCTGCTTAAAAAAACAGCCCTGGCTGGTTTGGCTCAGTGGTTAAGAGCATCGGCGCGTACCAAGGAGTTGCGGGTTTGATTCTGGTCAAGGGCGTGTACCTCAGTTGCAGTTCAGTCCCTGGCCCTGGTCAGGATGGTGCAGGAGGCAGCCAGTTGATGTGTCTCTCTCACATCGATGTTTCTCTCTCTCTCTCTCCTTCTTCCCCTGCCTCCCTTCCACTCTGTCTGAAAATAAATAAAAAAATATCCTTGGATGAGGATTAAAAAAAAAAAAGTGGCCAGCTGGTGTGGCTCAGTGGTTGAGCATTGACCCATGCACCAAGAGGGCGCCAGTTCAATTCCCGGTCAGGGCACACGCCCAGGTTGTAGGCCAGATCCCTAATGGGAGTGGGAATGCAAGAGACATCTCTCTCCTTCTCCCTTCCTCTCTCTCTAAAATCAATAAAGAAACAACAAAAGTAAAACAGAAATAAAAACAGTTGGGCCTCACTTTGAAATAGGAAAATTTTACATAAAAATTTGAATATCTAGGTTTCCTCTGAAAAATCAGATGATCTAGCAACAATAGGCAACAACTGGTTGCATGCTCTCCAGACTGCCTAGTTTCTACTGTGTCCCAGACACTGAGGCCTGGCTTTGCTTTATTCATTGAAATATGTGCTGGATCTGACACATGAAATGTGTTAGAAAGAGAAGCTTAAGCCCCGCCAGTGTGGTTCAGTGGATTGAGCATTGTCCCATGGACTGGCAGGTCCCAGTTCAATTCTCCGTCAGGGAACATGACTGAGTTGCAGGCCCAATCCCCAGTAGGGGGCGTGCAGGAGGCAGCCAATCGATGTATCTTTCTCACATCAATGTTTCTATCTCTCTTTCCCTTCCTCTCTAAAAACACAATCAATAAAAACAATATATATATATTTTTTTAAATAGAACAGCTTAAAGATAGTACTGTAGCCCGGCCGGTATGGCTCAGTGGACTGAGTGTCGTCCCATGAACTGAGAGGTCCTGGTTCTATTCCTGGTCATGGCACATGCCCGGGTTATGGTCTTCATCCCGTAAAAGTTATTATTTCCCCTAAATGAGCCTTCCAAATAATTTCTAAACTAACTGTCCTATAGGATTTTCGTTACAGTGAAAACCATTTTGAAATAGTCACATATTTGCTGTATCTATTTCCTATTCTGTTATATTCTCAAGAGATACACTATATGGACCAAAATAATATTCACATTAAAAAATCATCAAAATCATTGTCAAATTAAATATAGTCCCTAGAAACAAACAGAAGCATATTCAGATTAAATTTAAACTTACTGAATGTTCTTCCCCATAAGTGAAGCATATTCAGATTAAATTTAAACTGACTGAATGCTCTTCCTCATAAGTGAGTATCTATTTGCCAGCCACCACCTGTATAGGACTTTTCATATGTGCCACTCCCTGCCATCCCCTATTAACCTTCCCCAAAAATAAAAATAAAGGTACTTGGGTTCTCCCAATTCTGAGGTTAGTAATGAGAAGGTAGGATATTAAAAAATAAACAAAGCTTAATGACCTTATTTATATACTGGTATGTGAAAAAACAAATGGGAAAGCCTTATTTGTTATTAGAAATATTTTGTTCAATAAATACTGAGTTGGTGTTTGGAGAACAATAGTATATAGGTTAGAGAAATCAAAGATTGCCTATAAAGTGACTTTAAAAATATCTCAAGAACATTCTGGAAAAGGCAAAAGATCTGTAGTTGCCAGGGGTTGGTAGGGAGGGAGAGAGGGTTCACAGGTGAAGCATAGGAGAATTTGTCAGGTGGTGAAATTATTCTGTATGATGCTATAATGGTAGAAACATGACATTATGCACTTGTCAAAAACCACAGAACTTTATAACACAAAGAACAAACCTTAAAGTATGCAAATTTTTAAAGAAATGTAGGAGGTCAGGAGATCCCAGGAAGGAATAGACATTATGTGACAGAATCCAACTGTATTACAAATGTATGAAACAATATCACTGCAGGAGATACAGGAAAAGGTGCTAATCTAAATGACTTTGGAAATTAGCGGAGTCTTTAAGACTAAAGGCAAAAGGAACTACACACAAGCACTGTACTCCAGTTGATAAAGTTGCTTCCTGTGGGAGTACAGGTTAACAATTCAGATACTTTTACCCATGGGGGGGTCTCAGGTTAACAAAACTGATATACATCTATACATGTATACTGGGATTGAACAATTAAGTAAATGATGGTGAATGGTGGGAGCCATGTTTCTCACTGCTGGAGTGGGAGGTTATAGACAAACAAGGGGAGAAGACTAGAATGATCCATGTGATAATGGATCAGAGTTGGAGACATCAGTATGAATTCATATTTAGCAGATAAATATAGATACATATTTATATATAACCAATTTACAGAAATGGATACATAGAAATATTTATAGATATGCATAAATATACAGAGCAACACTACGAGCAATGAGCACACCTAGCACCCAGATCCTGCAAAAACATTCTCTAATAAGAGGACCCAGGGCTTTGTAGAGAAACTGCTGATTCTAAAACTAGAACAAGGGATATACAGGATGAGCCTGGAGAGTCTTGCAGTGTAATTAAGTACTCAAAACAAAAAACACAACCCTATGACAATGAGGGGATGTCAAAGTGACACAGGAACCAACCAAAAGGGCTCCTAATGGCCAAAGCTGGAAAAAAGAATTTAAAGAAAAATGTTTTTATTGATTTTAGAGAGAGAGGGAGATACACTGATGTGAGAAACATTGATCAGCCGCCTTCCGCACACACCTTGACCTGAGATTGAGCCCACAACCTGGGCATGTGTCCTGACCGGGAACTGAACTGGTGACCTTTCAGTGCACAGGACAACACTCAATCAACTGAATCACACCAGCCAGGGCCAAAGCTGGAAAATTTTAAGCAACAAAATAAAGTAGTATTGGATGATGACCCAAAGTATAAAATAAATTCCATAAACTCATAAACAAATAAATAGGGGAAAGGAGACCCAATCTACCATGCAGAAGAATTCCCAGTCATTTATGTAGAACACCCTCAAGGAGATGGAGCATAACTTTCTACCCCTTAAGTGTGGACTATATACATAGTGAGACTTCTTTCCAAATAGCACAGTATGTAAAGAAGTATTTTGTTTTAGTTTTTTAAAGAGTAACCTTATAGTGGAGAAACTTGAATAACACCTTCTCAGCCAAGTGACCAAAGTCAACATTAACAGTGATAAATCATATTGATAGTGTGTACTCCTGATGTGATGTGATGAGAATGGGAGAATGACACACTACCTCTGTGGTCTTCCTCCCTAAAACCCATAACCCAGTCGAATCATGAGAAAAACATCAGACAAATCTCAGTTGAGAGACATTCTACAAAATACCTGATCAGTTCTCCTCAAAACTGACATGATCATCAAAACAAGGACCGTCTAAGAAGCTGTCACAGCTAAGAGGAGCCTAAAGAGACACGATGACTAAATGTAATATGGTATTTTGGTGGGATTCTGAAACAGAAAACATACATTAGGTAGAAACTAAGGAAATCTGAATTAACTAAAGTATGATAACAATGTTTCAATATTGGTTAATTAATTTTAACAAATGTACCATGCTAATGTAAGCTATTAATAATAGAGGAAACTGGGTGCAAGGTACATGGGAACTCCCTGTATTATCTTCTCAATTTTTCTGTAAAATTAAAAATGCTCTGAAAAATAAAATTTATGTAAAACACATTTTTTAAATTACCTCAAAGTGGTTCTTGAGCCCTGGCACAGGAGTCTTATTCACATCTCCAGGTCTTAAAGCACCGTCTTTTCAGTAGCCTGGAATTCTGATAAAATGAGACAGTTATCCTTTTGCGAACTTCCAAACTCAACATGGAAAGACGACAAAAAATCATAGACTTCTGGTGCCTTAAAGTAACAGGAGACAGAGGGCTAGACCACGCTTTTAGGGCAAGTGGTTCTTTCCCAAGTATCATCGCAGGCTGAATCATCTTATTTTCCTTTGGTTCACAAATATCTTCTACAGTAATTAAACTCTATGTTATTCCATAGAAGAGAGCAGCACTTCAGAAAAACAAAAAGGTAGCCCACAACTCATTTCTTAAGGCTTCTGCAGCATACCTGGTTGTGACTTACCATCTTAAGCCTCCCTCCCCCCAGCCCATTCTATGTAGAGAAGAAAGGATGAGCCTGGGCCTATCAAGCATGTATAAAATTTTCTATTGCATAGCCAAAATAACACATAACTTTTCTAAAAATACTATTATACAACTCATTTCTGTTCTATGAAGAACAATTATACATAGAATAATAATAGCTTTATTGGCTTATTTTGACAAATGAGCATTCTCTTTCCCCATCATTTAGAAACTAGCTTCATTCCCCGTAAACCTAGTAATTCAATGTTAACTTTATTATTTTAGGGCAAATATTGGCTTATATCAGAGCCATCATGCACACAAGTTTCTAATTAATCTCCTGACTCAAAGTCATTTTATAACGACAGTAGAGCTAAAATAATATCCCTTGTTTATACTGTATACTTTCAGCACTTTACCATAGTTTTTATCTTAATTTCTGTTACTTTATCTTAAACATTACCCAAAAATGAACTTCAAGTATGAGCAAGAAGTACTGTACGCCTACATGAATGCTGTCTTCTACCATATGCAATTGCTTTTTCCAATCTCCTGACACATGACAATGCAAAATCCACCCCACATTCATGTTAACTTTCTTCCATCAACTTCAATCAGCACAGCTTTCCATCTTTCCTAAAGGCCTATTAAAAGTCATCGTGTGTTGCCCTGGCCAGTTTGGCTCAACAGTTAAAGCGTCAGCCTGTGGACCAGAGAGTCCCGGGTTCGGTTCCCACTAAGGGCACATACCTCAGTTGCAGTTTGTCTTTGGCCCCAGTTGGGGTTGTGTGGGTGGCAACCAGTCAATGTGTCTCTCTCACATCAATGTTTCTCTCTCTCTCTCTTCTTCCCTCTCTCCCTCCCGCTCTATCTGAAGATAAATGCAAAAATGTCCTCGGGTGAGAATTTAAAAAAAAAGTCATTGTGTTATCACTTTCAGCACTTGAAATAATGTTTATTAATTTTTAATTCTCCTCTAAATTTTATCACTATAAATCTTGAGAATTAAAACCAAACATGTGCTCTTTTAGCTATAGTGTCTTGTGCACACTGAATCTTTTGTAGGATGTTTAAATAATTGAAAAGCTCATTTGCTCTGATTGAGATGTCCCGAGGTCTTTGTTGGGTCAATTATCAAATGACATTATTTAAAATGAAAGTTAGGCCCTGGCTGGTTTGGCTCAGCAGTTGGAGCGTCAGCCTGTGGACCAGAGAGTCCCGGGTTCAGTTTCCACTAGGGGCACGTACCAAAAAAAAAAAAGAAAGTTAGGACAACCTATCGTAACATATGCCAGAGGCAGATCATCTTCACATTTTATTACTTAAATAAAGAGATTACTTAGAACAGTGTTTTTCAAATGATGGGCTGTGACCTCTTAGTGAATTATGTAATAAATCTATAGGGTGATGTTAAGTATTTAAGAAAAAAAAGAAACATAACAGAAAATATTAGAGTGCTTCACACATAGCAATGGTCAATACCGATTAAAAAAACTTATCTGAGGGATATATATATATTCTAGCTCATGATTAAAATGTATTTCTCTCCCGGCTGGTGTGGCTCAGTGGATTGAGCATCATCCCAGGGACTGAGAGGTCCTAGTTCAATCCCTGGTTAGGGCACATCCCCAGGGTTGCAGGCTCCATCCCCGGTAGGAGGGTGTGCAGGAGGCAGCCAATCGATGTTTTTCTCTCACATCTATGTTTCTATTTCTCTGTCCCTTCCTCTCTAAAAAAATCAATAAAAATGATTTTTAAAAATATTTTTCTTTATTGATTTTTTAGGGAGAGAGAGAAACATATCTCTCTCTCTCTCTCTGCCAGGCAATAAAAGCATATTTTTAAAAATTGTATTTCTTACTGTGAGTTGCTTTGATAAATACTGACTTAGAATATGGTGATAGGTTATATAAGAAAAATATTTAACACCTTTTCTTTTTACTTTTATCTGAATAGATGGCAGTTTTTAATTAACAAAATAAAATTATTTGAGAAACTTATGGATATGAAAGTTGAAAGAACTATTTGCTATACATTTTTATGTAATTTTTTTTTTCTCAAATGCAGCCTCGATGTGTTGTGCAGCTCCCTCACATTCTAGTCGAGGCTCTTGCCTTCTAAAAGATTTTTTAAGAACTGAGTTATCTGTCACATTAACCTAGACATTCAAGATCACAAATTGTGGGAATTTCCTACTGTAAGAGTTTGAAAGATTTACAAAAATGCCATTGATAATTATTTAACAATATCTAGCCTGACAATACTCCTGAATCCCTTGTTCATTCACTTAATAAAATCTGAGCACTCCACTTAGAGATACAGAAGACTCATGCCCTCACAGTGACAGAAACACACCGATAGTTACAATAGAGCAGGGTTAAGTCCTATAGTAAGTTGTCAGAAAAAGAAGTACTGAAGAAAGCTTCATGAAAAAGATAATATTTAAGATGAGGTGCAAAGCAACCCCGAACCCAATCTTGTTTTACACAAGAAGGTAACTGAAGGCTAGAGGGATTTAAAAACTTGCTTAAAAGCCAAGATTATAAAATAGGCCTCATAACATCTTGTTCAGTGTTTAAGTCACAACATGCACCCACATTTGTTATTATACTAGGAAACAGCTGTTAAAAAGAGTGGTAACATCTTTATAAGGTGGCGAAACAAGCTATCTAAAAATCAAAGCTGATATTGTTAAATAGCCTTTCTTAATACAGATCTACCAATGGCTCAAAGCAAGAATTACACTACATTTAAAGAATTATACACTGATTTGTTGATAATACTAGATTTATCATCTATTCAACTCAGTTACTGAACATGTCTAAGAATAAGAAAAATTACAATAAAAACCAGGAAGGTGGAAGATCAGCATATGCACGCACACCCAGCAAGTCTTTCAAGCTCCACCAGCTCTCCAACTAAAGCTGGGACCTAGATAGGATTGATTAGTGCTCTTTATTCAAAATCAACTGCTAAGTTACCCTTCCATTCGCTGCTAAGTGTTCTAATAACAAATGAATTGTACAAAAAAACTTGCTTAGGGTCCTGATTTAGGGCCTAAATCTAAACACATGAAATCACCTGAACATCTTTTCCTTGCTCTTAAATGCACAAAAGGGATGGGGATGAGGGGGTAGGGTAATATTAATAGCAATATGGATTAGTTTTCAAACAAGTTTTTACTCTAATATACTACAGGAATACACAGATATATACTCCTTACCTCCAATTTATCAACTGGTGAAACTTCAAATATGATACCTTGTCCAGTCTGACACGCAATAATTCACGATAAAAACCTTGAAGAAAAGGCTGAGGACAGTATCCTGAAAAAGAAAAAGAAAGAACCAAGAGGTAAGATTCAGACTGTGAAGATTTAAAGAAGACAGTGTGAGCAAGTGATATGGCACGCAAACGAAAGGTCACAAAATGCAGCCATTTGTACATCTTTACTACCTGAAATTTCATCGGATAAAGTTTATGTTGCTAGATACTAACAGAATGTTCACCTGACTGCCTGAACCATCCTGCTCCACTTCCTAGTCAGTTACCTCTAATACCTAAGGCAGAGCTGGCAACAGCAGAGGGGACAGCTAAAGCTTTTCTGAGGTTTTGGCTTCAGAGAAAGCTAACAGGAGAAACTTTAGTTGCATCCCTGGCAAATCATTAGGGGTCCCCCACAGCTCCCCATGATATACTTGTTATTAAATTTGAATGGGTTTGATTACAAAACAGTGCCAAAGACATTCAAGGACTGGAATTCAGAGAGGTGAGCTAAGCAATCCAGAAGAAATTAAGAGGTTAAACTGTATCCGACAGCCTGATAAGCTGAGAGGGACAAGAGCAAAATCCTCTACCCCCACCTTCAGGTTAGGAATCTGAAGGGCTGCACTTTAGAAATAGGGGTGAACCAGGAATTAATCAGGCCATACATTGAATGCAACTTGGCCTTGAGTCATCTGGTGGGCCCAGAAACATCTCGAAAGCAGGGATTAGACTCTGTAATCCTGGATTCCCTAAAGGAGATGCCACCAAAAAAAAAAAAAAAAAAGAAAAAGCCTTTCTGGAAGACATCATTCTTGGTCTCAGATGATTTCTTAAACAATTCTTCAGCATACACTTAAAGACAACCAGGCACATGAGGAGACAAGAACAAAATCAAAAGCTGTAAAAACAACAAAAAGAGACTCACGGGCACTCCAAATATTAGAATGATCAAACATAGATTTAAAATTATGTTTATTATGTTCAAGGAGGTGAAAACCAAACTTAATAATCTCAGCAATTAAGTAGAAACCATAAAAAGTGACATAGCAGATTTGCAAAGGAAGTAGAGAGTGATTCTGTAACTGAAAAATACAAAAACTGAAATTAAGAATTCAATGAACAGCTCTGGCTGGTTTGGCTCGGCAGTTAGAGCGTCGGCCTGTGGTTCAGAGAGACCTGGGTTCGGTTCCCGCTAAGGGCATGTATCTTGGTTGCAGTTTGTCCCTGGCCCTGGTTGGGTTGTGTGGGTGGCAATCACTTGATGTGTCCCTTTCACGTGGATGTTTCTCTCTCTCTTTCTCTCTGTTCCTCTCTCTCCCTCCCACTCTATCTGAACAAAAAGTGGGAGAGTGTCCTCAGGTGAGGATAAAGAAAAAAAAAAGAATTCAATGAACAGATTTAACAACCAATGGACACAGTTGAGACAGTGTATCAGATGACAGGTCAAGGGGAAAGCTCAGAATGAAGCCAGGATAAGAAACATGAGGATACAGTGAGGAGGTCTAACATCCAATGCAGTTCTTTGGAATCCCAGAATGAAAAGAGAGACAGAACAATGATCTGAATGGCAGAAATTTCCTAAAAACAATGGAAGATACCAAATAACAAATTTAAGAATCTCAGTGATTTCCTAGGTGAAAATCAACAAAGAAAAACTTAAAAGCATCCTGAGGTGGAAAATAATTACTTTCAAAGCAACAGTTAGATGGCTAGCTTAATTCTCAACAACAAAAATGGAAGCTGAAAGACTGTGTAATGGTATCTCTAAGGAGCAGAAAGAAAAACAACTGCCAACCTAGTACTGTACTGCATAGAAAATATCCATCAAGAATGAAAATGAAATATCCTCAAATAAAAACAGAGTTCACATCTAGCACCCTCCTACTAAGAAATCATAAAGCAACAAAAACTGACCAAAAACAGAAGGTTATAGATGCAGAAAGAAATGAAAAACCATGAAAATTAAGTAAGCATGTGAAAAATCTAATGGAATACTGTGAAAAATAATAATGTCTTAAGGGAGTTCAAATATGTACAGAAAAGTATCTCCAAACTCATTTAAGTTAAATACATTAAATCTGTACAGCTTCTGAATACACATAAAGACACACATACAAATACATACAGAAAATTAAATTATAGAGCAACAGACAGCATGTATGTCAGGAGGTAAGTAAATGAAATTAAGGTATTTTTAATATTCTTGCTTCAACCAGAAGGTAGGTAAAAGTATCAATTAACCCTAGGCTTTGGTAAATGCTAAGGTAATCATAAAAATAATTAAAATAAATATGTGATATCTGAACCAATAAAGGAAAAATTGATATCAAAATAATCATTAAAATGAAAGAGAAAACTAAATACAGAATGGGCAGGACAACAATGTGATACTATATATAACCTCAAAATACTAGTAGTTACATTAAATATAAAGAAATGTTCCAAAAAAGAAAATGATGATCAGACTAGATTTTTATGTATCTATATATATGTTGCTTTCTAGAGATCCATGTATAAAATATAATACAAAAAGGTTGAAAGTAAAAGGATAAAAAATACATCATGTAAACATTAGCAAAAATAAAAATGGTATAGCTAAATTATTTTCAGACAAAATAGAAAAGCATCACTAGAGTTAAAGGAGTCACATTAAGAATGATAAAATGTTTACTTCAACCAGAACAATGTAATTAACTAAATTTGCATGCAGTAGCTAACATGACCTCAAATTATATATACAGCAAAAGTTGACAGAATTAGTAGGAGAAATAGACAAACATCAGTATCATAGTGGCAGATTTTAAGATACCTCACAGTAGTTGAAAGAATAAGCAGACAAGTAAGGACACAGATACACATATAAAGTAAAGCTCAAGACATTTGAAACTGAAATCACTCAAAGAAAGTTCTCTAAGGAAACTGTGATAAAACCAGAAACCAATGACCAAACATGCAGAGTTAGAAAATTCTCATATTACTATAAATTAAGAAATACTTTAAATAACCCATTGATCAAAGAAAAAATTATAATGACAATTAGAAAATGTACAGTTAACAATAAAAATATTACCTATAAAAAATGATGACCCTGGCAGGTTTGGCTCAGCTGTTAGAGTATCTGCCTGTGGACCAAAGAGTTGCGGGTTCGATTCCTGTCAAGGGCACATACCTGGGCTGCAGATTTGATCCCCGGCCCCAGTCTGGGTTGTGCAGGAGGCAACCAAATGCTGTGTTTCTCTCACATCGATGTCTCTCCCCACCTCCTTTCCACTATCTCTAAAAATATATATATATATGGGATGCTGGTAAAGCAATGCTTCAAACTGAAAGGTATGGTCATACATGGATGTTGGGAAGGAAATAAGGATGCACATTAATACCAAACTACCCCGTTAAGAAATTAGAAAAATAGCCCTGGCCGCTGTGGCTCAGTGGTTGGAGCATTGGCCTGCACACCGAAGGATCGCGGGTTTGATTCCTGGTCAAGGGCACATACCTGGGTTGTGGGTTCAATCTCCAGCTCTGGTCAGGGTACGCATAGAAGGCAACTAAATGATGTGTCTCTCTCACATCTATGTAGCTCTCTCCTCCTTCCTTCCCTTCCACTCTATTTATCTTCAGATAGAGTGGGAGGGAGGGAGAGAGGGAGGGAGAGGAAGGAAGAAATAGAAACAGAGAAACATGGATATGAGAGAGACACATTGATTGGTTGCCTCCCACATGACCCTGACCAGGGCCTTAGATGGAACTGCAACTGAGGTATGTGCCCTTGACCGGAAATGAACTTGTGACTCATTGGTCCTCGGGCCAACACTCCAACTGCTGAGTTAAACCGGCCAGGGCCCACTCTCTAAAAAGCAATATAAAAAATATCCTCGGGTGAGGGTTAACCAAAAAAAAAAGTTAGAAACATAAAAGCAAAATAAACCCTTAAAAGGAAATAATGAATATAAAAGCACATAACAAAATAGAAAAACACCCATATAATTGGTTCTTTAAAGAATTACTATAATTGCTAAACCTCTAGTAAAAATTTTTTTTAAAAGAGAGGAAAAAGATATGTATACCCAATATCAAGAATGAAAAGGGTCCATGAGAAATAAAAACATGTCTGTGTAAAAATCTGTACATGAATGTTTATGGCAGCATTATTCATAATAGTCAAAAAGTGAAAACAGTTCTTTCCGGCGGTGACGACCTCCCCACGACAATATGCCTCTCGCTAAGGATCTCCTTCATCCCTCTCCAGAAGAGGAGAAGAGGAAACACAAGAAGAAACGTCTGGTGCAGAGCCCCAATTCCTACCTCACTGATGTAAAATGCCCAGGGTGCTATAAAATCACCACTGTCTTCAGCCATGCACAAACAGTAGTTTTGTGTGTTGGCTGTTCCACTGTTCTCTGCCAACAGGAGGAAAAGCAAGGCTTACAGAAGGATGCTCCTTCAGAAGGAAGCAGCACTAAACACACCTCGAATCAAGATGAGTGGGGAACCATTCCAATAAACACATTTTGGATACAAAAAAAAAGTGTAAACAACTCCAAATGTCCATCAACTGAGAGCCCAGAAATAAACACATTTATATGGGCAAATAATTTTTGACAAACGAGCCAAAAACACACAATGGAGAAAAGAAAGCCTCTTCAATAAATGGTGCTGGGGATATTGGAAAGCCAAATACAAAAGAATGAAACTATACTGTTTGTCCCCATGTACAAAAATGAATTCAAAATGAATCAAAGACCTAAATATAAGATCTGAAACAATAAATTCCACAGAAGAAAACATAGGTAACTAAAATTATGGATCTTGTCCTTAGAGAGGATGTTTATAAATCTGACACCAAAGGCAAGGGAAGTAAAGGCAAAAATAAACAAATGGGGCTGTATCAAACTAAAAAGCTTCTGCACAGCAAAAGAAACCGCCAACAAAACAAAAAGGCAATCAACCAAAGTGGGAAGATATTTTCAAACAACAGCTCCAATAAGTGATTAATATCCAAAATATGTAAAGAACTCATACAACTCAACAGCAAACAAACAATCCAATAATAAATAGA